TATCATGCAAATCTTATTTTTTTTTAAATTTATATATTTGTATTTATCAAGTAGATTATAAAAATCAATATATATCAAGATTGTTCTTCAATATAATAATACATTAGTTCAAATAAACTTACGTTTACATACCTAAATCGTCATAGGTTATAATATTTTGTTTTTATATAGTTTAAGCGTTTGTATCTTAATCTTCTCACCAAACAATTTTAAATTTCGATAATCTCTTCCATGAAATTTATTTCAGTTTTTTTCATTAGAAAATATTCAAAATAATATCAATTATCCTCTTATTCAATACGTGAGATAGATTACGGCGATCTAATTGTAGTATTTTCATTCGTTTCCTGCAAGTTGCAAACTAAAACTTTATGCATCATTCGCTTCTTGCAAAATTTGGGAATAAATTATATGAAAGATATATGAGTAGATACATAACAAAAAAAAACCTAATTCAATTAGAAATATAAAAACACTAATTATTTGGTAATATTTGACAAATTTAAATAAACATAATACAATAAAAAGAGTCAAAACAACTTAATAACAGTGAAACTTCTCTATTAGTGGTCTTGTATTTTTTAGTTTTTTTTTTCATTTTCAGATATTAAAAAATATTTATAAAACTGACAAATTCAAATAGGAAAATAATAATTAATTCAAAATTTTATAAAAAAATAGAGTAGTGAAGTAATAAAAACTAAATTATTTCATACATGGATATAAAAAAAACAAATTATGTGATAAAATTTTGGGAATTACTTGGAAATCAACTAAGAAAAACAACCAAGATAAAAAATCAACTCTTAAATTATTTTATATCAATTTCGGTTTTTTTTCATGGATGATTTATTCACCTTTTACTCTTTTGAATTTGATTTTTGAGAAATTTCAAAAAATGCCACTTTTCAAATGCCACTTTACAAAAATACCATTTTCTTACAATCTTTACAAAAATGCAACTTTTTCAAAATTATTTATTCATTATATCATTTATGTTTGAGTTAACTATGTTGTATTATAGTTTAGTTTTGAGGGTTTAAGGGTTTTAGGGGTCAAAAGATTTTTTAGGGTTTAGAATTTTAAGATTTATACTCTAAAAAATCATAATTAGTGGTATTTTTGCAAATAGATACCAAAAGTGGCATTTTTGTAAATGTCTCATGATTTTTTCACAGGTTATAAAACATTTTATCAAGAATTATAAAATATTATATCACAAATCCGCATATATGTAGGTCATTTACCTAGTATTAAATAAACAGTTTTAAACAATAATATATTTTATTTTTTTGACAAATTTTAAAAAATACCACTTTTCAAGCGGCACTTTTAAAAAATGTCACCGTATCAAAATCTTCGCAAAAATACCATTTTTTCAAAAAAAAAATTTATTATATCATTTATGTTTGGATTAACTATGTTGTATTAGGGTTTAAAGGGTTTTAGGGGTCAAAACATTT